CGAGTCGAACACGAGCTGTTCGCGAACAACGAGCCGTTTTGACAGCCCTAGTTAGATATGTAAATGCATAAGGATTGTGTGGTATGTATGTAAATTTTCCATTTTTTTAAAAAATATCACCCATCTTTCCTGAGTTTCTCAGAAACCAAGTGCAAATTCTAAGGTTGTTCCACGAAACGAAAAGAAAAGCCTTATATAAATAGCTACAACTACACTATTTCGAACTATGACTAGCCATATCTGCAACTATAACTACACTAACCATGACTATATTATTTCAAAATATGCTACAAATATAACTATAGCTCTAGTATTGCTATGACTAACTATAACTACATTATATCACACCATATTATGTAACGCAACTATATATATATATATATTAGAAAAGCACCGATCATCTCTAGGTGTGTTAAATATTCGAGAACTACACTCTACACATGGTACGATTCAAACCCGTGACCTGAGAGGACTTACGACCTTCAGAGAGGCTGCTATTATGTGTGTGTGTGCCGCAAGCCTTGGCTTGTTAGTGGCGGGGTCACTGTAAGTCATCTCAGGTTAGCACGGGGGCTCTGAAATATTAGACACATGGTGTAGACACCCAATCATAGGTGCCTGAGTACAAAAGGGAAGCGGTATTTGGGGCCCACCGGACTCAAATACTGTTTCCTTTATATACATATATAGCACGATTATTAATATGATTTTGTATATATGATATACTTTGGGGTTTTCATGAAATTAAAATATAGGAAGATTTAAATACTTGCAACTTATTCTTGTCTTTACATGCCTGACAGATAAACTTTAATTTTTACATTAATGATTATTAAGGCTTTGTATGGGATCACTTTCTATTTTTTGTTTTTTTTTTTCAATTTGGTTTTTAAAGCACATAAGTTTTCAATTATATTTTTTTCTCTATGTTTTAAAAAAATGTTTTTCGAAGCATTATCCATGTGTGGCTCCGCTTTCAGTCGCATGCTGCCCATCGACGCTTCCACCTGCTAGCTGCAGCTGCTGCATGTGGTCATTCACTGCCGCCCTGCGTCCAATGCACTCCCCCAGCCTCTTATCCCATCTCGCCCCCATCACCCCCACCCCTAGGCAATGTTTCGTGTTGGGTGGAGCTAGGAAGATGGCGTATACACCATGAGCGACAGAGCTTCATACTGGAGCGCATGCAGACCCAAATGTTTTATAAAAAAATACAGCCTTTTTCTTAAAAAATAATAAAAAAAAAATTAAGCTAAATATGTTTTATATTTTTTGTTTTTAATAACATATAAATCATAACAGTATCAAATGTATTTTCTAAAAATAAAAAAAAAACAACAAACAAAATAAAAACAAAATAAATTGATAATAATAAAAATATAGAAAATGATCCCAAATAGGTCTTAAGATATTAAAAAACAGAAATACATATTTGACATTGAACCAAATAACCCAAATTTGTTCACTTTGGTTTTTTGGGTCTAATCAAATAACACACACCCTTAATACAAAATTTTTTGCAAAGACCTTTGAATAGAACAACTAATTGACATAAATTAAAACAAATGTTTTTTTTTTCATTTTTAACAATTTTATTGGTTCGCAAGCTCCTTCAATGATGATGGTGGTGTTGACGAAGTTTAATCTCGATCTAGTGCGTTCACGCCTCCATCAAATTTGATGGATTGCTAAAAGATAACCCACATACAACCACTCTTAAAAGATCATTTTCGACATCGGTGTGAAACACTTTGATGCAGATAATGATAGCTCATGAGTAACATTGTGGAGAAGATCGAATGACTCGTGTTTTTTTTTCCCTTTTCGGGTCAATGAGCTTCGAGCACGAGACCTTTTGATGCTAGAAGAAATGTTCAATCACCGTGCCATCTTCTAATCCATTTGAATGACTCGGTGTTTAATTAATATCTTCAATTTTAACGATTGGATGGTCTCGCTAGTAAAAGACAATTGCCTTGGATTTTGAAGAATACTTGATTTAATGTCACTTTGAAAATGATTCATTCATGATGGTATTCTCACTTGATCTTTTTTTTCATATTTATTTGATTTTTTTGCTTTTTTAATATTTGAGAATCAAAAAGATAATCCTAATATTTAAATATATAATCTTATCATCTAGTTTAAAGGTCTGTTTGGGGCAGCTGCAGCTTATTGAATAATCTGCTGATAAGTTGATTTAAAATAATCTGCTAATACTGCTAATAAGCTAGGTGCGGTAGGTGCGGTGACTATTACAAATTTTTATTTTTTTTGGAAATCCCAGACTGCAGCCAGAAAGCTGTTAATGCACCTAGAAAAGTGCGGTGTGAAAAAAACTGTTTTCAACATTTTGAAAACGCATAAGCTGTCAAAACACAGTTTACCCAAACAGATCAGGTGTGTTTTCAAAACGCCACCGCACCAAAAAAAGTTGGCCCAAACGGGGTTGGCCCAAACGGGCCCTAGCCCTAAATTAGAGATAATCCAAATATTTAAATATATAATCATGTCTTTTGCTACATTAATTTTTATGTGGCCAATAAAACTTTTTTTTGAAATGGCCTTGCAAAAAATCCTTTCTTCATGTAGTTTTGATTTCCACATCATAAAACATCATACTATCTATCTTTAAACAATACCATTGAACATCACATGGTTACATGAATATGATAGAAATCTTAATCTTTTAATGACAAGTATGTAATACATTTAGAATATAAAAAAGAAGCATTTACATACATACCGCCTAAATTCTATGTATTTAGATATCTAACATCTAAACTTCGCCTTTTTTACATTTATATCCATGTAAAAAAAGTGAATTTTAAGAGTTATATGTATGTGGGTAATCATAATAATGATTATGACTAACCAAATTGAATATTGAAGCTCATGTTTCTAGATCATTGGATGTGACATGATTGACTTATCTTCTAGATTTAATATAGGTTTTTGAACTCTTAAGTTTAAAATATTTGTATATTATATAAACTATCATGATGATATAGGATTTTGGATTGTAATAAATGTGATGATCATA